CCTTACTGTCTTGTTTGTTGCCATAGCTACCCTTATTAGTTACCATGCCAACCAAACCCCTCACCTGTCCCTTATCAGCCCCTGGTTATCTTGTGTACATATATCCCTGTGTATCAGTTGGGTTTGGTCTGTGATTGTTTCCTGTATGCATTTCCAGTGATTGCTCTCTTGGGGGCGTATTACATTACAGAACATTACAGAAAGTTTCTTATCTTAGGTCTTAACTTAAAATATAATACGTTAAACTAGGATTTTTTTCCCGCAAATTCGTATTACAGAAGCAAATCTTAACTTGATTTAGGATTCTTATCTTATCTTACAAAATCTTATCTTATGTCTAGTTAGGAAATCTTAAACCGCTCGATCGAGTTTGATAATCAACTGTCAGGTCTGTTACCAAGCAAACTATGCACAAGCGGCTGCTGAGGTAAACCAAAAAAAAAAAATGGAGAAACAATGGCGTGCTTTTTACTTGCAGAATGTCCGGTAGTGCTCCGTGATGGCTCATGGGACTCTGTAATGTTGGTCGCAATTGGTCAACTATATATACTGTATATAGGCTCTATGTATATATTTTTTATTGGGTTGGCCATTTGTAAATTCTATGGGTCTGGCTTCCGGTCTCATCTGCCTCCACTCCATCCAGCTATTTTTAGCTGAACAAAACAGTTCGTTTTGCTGCTTGATATTGAAAGTTGGTGTGTCTTATCATATTATCTTAATTATGAACACACTGGTTTGTAGTGCAAACTGTTTTACCGTTTACTGCACGTTGTTATTCTCCTCGTTATTTACCTATAGCGGCTAATGAACCGGAAGTCTCACCCATAGGCTTACTTCCACGTTGAAGAAAAAGGTGGATAAGATCAATTAACAATAGAGGCCCAAACTGCTTAACCAGGCATGTGTGTCTGCTTTACTGGAATCTAACAGTAGAGACCGTTTCAACACTATATGTAACACTTATATAAATATAATTCCCAGACACCTCCAAAGCTGACCTCTACTTAACTATCTGACTCTTTTCTACCCTCAAATGCAAAAGAATGAGTAAAATGCAGCAATGTATTTATTATAATTGTTAAAGCAACTTTTTAAACAGTTCTTTGAAATGCCATCTAAGTGAATCAATTTGCAAAAATGAATCAGTATTGAGACGGGGCGTATTACAGAGAGTTTCTTATCTTAGGTCTTAACTATGTTAAATAAGGATTTTTCGCAAATTCGTATTACAGAAGTAAATCTTAACTTGATTTAGGATTCTTATCTTATCTTACAAAGTCTTATCTTTTGTCTAGTTAGGAAATCTTAAACCACTCAATCAGGTCTGTTACCAAGCAACCAACTATGCGCAAGCGGCTGCTGAGGTTAGCATAAAATCAAAATGGAGAAACAACAGCGTGCTTTTAACATGCAGAATGGCCGGTAGTGCTCCGTGTCGGCTCATGGGCCTCTGTAATGTTGGTCGCAATTGGTCAACTATATATACTGTATATAGGCTCTATGTATATATTTTTTATTGGGTTATATGTCTGTCTATATGTAGCACTGTGGTTTTGTGAGGCACGACGTTTGTACGTCTGCACATCTAGCAGAATGACAATAAAGCTCACTTGAACTTGAACTAACTGCAAATGCATGTGTGGTGGGAGTCTGTAATTATTTACGAGTATTTTAACATCAAAGTGCAACACATCTTTTGGGTCCTTCAAAAGTCTCTCCACCATCAAACTTTGCTTCTCTGTCTTGTATGATTAATAAATGTTATGCCATTCTCGAAAAGGGCTAATGTAATGTGTTTTTTTACAGTTGGATTTCAAAATGGTTTGAAGTTGGGACACCAGTGGGGTTATCCTAAAGTTAAGACAGTTTTTAGGAATTTTTGGCAAGTTAGGATGATTCTGTAATGCCGTTTTCCTATCTGTAGTTAAGATTAGATAATGCTCTTAGGAAATGCTGTTCTCTAATAGCTTTTGTCCTAAATGTGGTTCTAACTGAAATTGCCATGGTTACCAAACAGATAAGATAAGATTTTAAAGTTAGGATCTTTCTGTAATACGCCCCAAGGTTCCTATCTGTGGTTTGTACCCATGTTTCAAATTTGGATTATCTGTGTTGGTGTTTCAATTAAACTTGTTTGGTTTGGTTTATTTATTTATATAGCACAACAACAAAAAAACCCAGGGGTAACCACAATGCTTGACAATAGAAAAGATAAGAAAAAAATTAAACTTGTGCTTGTGTGTGGATTCTTGCTCCATCTCGTCCCTGCTCACGTAACACAGGCCATGGCTGGGACAGACTTCCTGTATCACATCTCCTTAAAAAGGCACAATCTAATCCTGTTTATGTGAAATAAGACCGCTCCCAAGCAGGTTTGAACTTACGGACATGTTGCTATGACAGCAACTTAAGGATGAGCTTTGAAGAACCTAACAATCCTGGAACATGTCAAATCATCAACAGTAAAATCCATACAACTGAGTAATCCAGGTACGAAGAACAGACCCCTGAACACAACAGTGAGTGGTGGGACATTTGCTGATAAAATGATTGTGCCTGAAGAATAGCGTGAGAACTCTACTATGTCTGGTCTCTCTGTATCATCTTGGTGAGCATTTTAGACATTTTATGCATGCACGGTGAGGTGATTTAAGTGTTTTCAGATGTGTCTGTGTGAATGGACAACTATTGGAAAATGCTTTAAAAAGCTAGTGTGGACAAAGTGCATTTTAAAAAATGGTCATTTCAAATATATCCAGATTAATGTGGATGTACCTTCAAAAGGCCACCACTCAATCCTATAACAGTTAAAAACTACAGACCAGTCTCTCTACTTACTTTTCTGTCAAAAACTCTTGAAGGAGTTGTGTTCAGTTAGCTCTCTGCTTTTCTCCAACAGAACGACCTACATGACGACAAGCAGTGTGGCTTCAAAAGCGGAAATTTCACAGAGACCGCCCTGCTGACTATTGTTGAAACTCTTTGCTTACTCTTTTTGGCAAAAGCAAACTCCAAATCATCTGTCTTTATTCCTCTAGACCTGTCTGCTGTCTTTGACACTGTAAACCACCAGAGGTCAAAAGGCAGTGTAGAGATAAGGATAAGGCTTTCCTTGTCTTCCAAGGAAAACTGCACCACTCCAGACTCCCTCTGTGTGGGCTTTGAACCCCCTTGCTATGGGACATAATTTCCAGAATGCAGGAAGAGCAAAGCACTGCAGCAAGCCACCAACTCAGCAGAATAACCTCCCCTCCACTAAGTCCTGGGGAAAAATCTCCTTTGCCGCAGAAATCCCCAAATCCCTCTGACACTGAACTTAAGTGGCCAGTTTGCTGAACACCTGGCATTGGGCATTTGCTCCTTTCTGTCTAAGCCAGACTTGGTAAAATTGGATTCCTCTTTAAAAGGCAAGTATGGATCCCCTTTACCATTAGTTTGGAAAGGCACACACCTGAGTATATAAGGGCCCACAAATTACATTGCATTGTCAGGACAAAAACCAAGCCTTGAAGTCCAAGGAACTGCCTGTTGATCTCTGAGATCAAGTTGTGGCAAGGTATAAATCAGGCCATGGATATAAAATTATTTTCAAGGCTTTGATTAGAACCCAGTGGTCATTCTGAAAGATCACCAAAAGTCCTTTGCAGAGATGGGAGAACCTGTTGGACAGACAACCATCTCTGCAGCACTATTTAAATCAGGCCCTTATGGCAGAGTGGCTAGACAGAAGCCACTGATATCTAAAAAGCATATGACAGCTTGCTTAGAGTTTGTTAAACAGCAATTAAAGGATTCTGACAACATGTGGACAAATATTCTCTGCTCTAATGAGATGAAAATTTAACTCTTTTGTCGGCGGGGCATAGAGGACCTACAATAATGTACAGTATTTGAAAAATAATGTGTTTTTTGAACATTAAAGCATGTCAACATATTCTGTTACACCAAATACACAAAATAATGATCTTTAAAAAAGCATCATATGACCCCTTTAAAAAAAAAAAATCATCATCTCAGGATTGTGTCACAACACCTCCAAATTACAATATAATGAATACACAGATCATTTTGAATGACTGTCAGTGGAGAAAAGCCATATATTAAAATAATTTGTGCTTGGGAATCCTGAGCAGTGCATGCTAACAGGTAACATGGACCATTTCAGCAGAGAACACCCAACAGTATATTTTTGGTAACACTTTATTTTGATAGTCCACTTTAGACATTCTATTAACAGTAAGTAACTTTGCAACTACATGTCAACTAGCAGTTAGTAGAGTATTAGTAGACTGTCTGCTTAATATCTTCCAACACTTTCTTTGTCAACTTATTCTACTAACCCTAAACCTACCCTAACAGTCTACTCTGAGAGTTAGTAGACATGTAGTTACAAAGTTACTTATAGTTAATAGAATGTCTAAAGTGGACTATCGAAATAAAGTGTAACCATATTTTTTAGAAGGGTTCTTTATATGACCTTTATATGAGATCTTGGAGTCTGTAATTAAATCGGGTTATTTATGGAGCGCCATGTTCAGCACAAAACAAACTCAAGCAACACTTTTGTATTTTAGGTTTTATACCTGTTAGCTTAATTACATGAGAACAACTGTCCAGTCTGTTATGGAAAGTTCTGAAATATTGATCGATACATTATTTGTGGACAGACAAATGTCATATATTATATAGTTTTCCTTTAAGAATAACAGGCAAAAAGCAGACATTACAATCAAGTTATTAAAAGCTCAAACAAATCCTCTAAAACATACAATAGACCCACACACTGCTAATACATTTAAAAAGAGATTCATGTTTGGTCTGTATACACTGACATTCACAGCACGAGGCAAGTAGTTTACACTTTGAATAATCTTGAACAGTAATTTAAAACAACGCTCATAAATTACCAAAATCATAAGTATAATTTAAAAAAAAAAAAAAAAAAAATTTTTTTTTAAATTATAATCAGATAATAATAATAATAATAAAAAGAAACACACATCAACATAGCAGGACAGTAAAAAAAAAAAAAACATGGGAATGTGGTCAAGGAAATATTCAGGTAAATAGGAATTTTTAATATTTCCACCGGTGTTATGTGAGCTTTGAAAAGGAAGTTCCTCATTTTGACCTTAGGTGCATTTCAAAAGTGCCCAAAAAAACAAACAAGATGCTTCTAACAGACCCGAAGCTTATGACAATGCCACTGTAAGCCTTTATTCACTTCATAAGGGTGACTGAATTCACTGGAAGAAACCAACACCCATATGACTCCGAAGCAGCGCTGTGGATGAACAGGTGTGTGCAGCGACTAGAAGAAGCTGGTCTTGAGTTTGATGGTGGGAGCCGCTTGTACAGTCGGCTGCTGCTGTCTCGCAGCGGTCTTGGCTTTACTGTTGGCTTGTCTGGATCTGATGGCCGCCTCGAGTCGGGTCTTGAGTTCTGGTGCCACCCCAATAACAGTCTTGAAGGCAGCAGGGTACAGAGGACCAGTGTGCATCAGGTTCTGGAGGGCAAACTCATGCAGGTCTTTAGAGGAGGTGGAGGCCGTGGAGAAGGTCGTATCATCCAACAGATATGAAACGAGGGTCGGGACCAGCAGAGCCAGTAACTGCACTCCTGTTTGAGACAGACCGGAAAGGAAGCTGGATCACAACTTAACATGAAGGTGCTCGGTATGAATGTTTTGTTGAGCATCACATCACATGTAGTATGATATAGTGAGAACATGCAGCTCAAACTTAAAGTCACCATGAAATTAAGCCATTTCGCTCGGATATACATCACAGTAGGGAAGAAAAGACTATCGCCACTTCTGTTTCATGCGACTTTGAGGAGGAAAAACAGCTCAATTTTATTCCGAGACTCAAACTGAGCAAAAATATGAATTTGGTGCAAATGCTGATATTTCTATGATGGAATTCTGATGCTTGTGCTGTAAATCAATGAGATGTGTATAACAGTAGAGCAGATACTGACATAAAATGATCTAAATATCAGGCGTCGCTCTATGTCTCCAATAATCTGTTTTAGTAAAATGAGATTGAAATGCTCCAAACATATAATGCAGTGATTGAGAGCTGAAGAAATAAAGGCTCCTCAGAAGATGTGACATGTAGAGGTCTACACGGAGGACCCGAGACCCGAGGCTATATTTTAAATGGTCAGCCGGGCCCAGGTCGGGTCCCAATCTACTACTTCGGGTCCCGGGTCTGTTTAACATTGTGTGTAATACCCGAGTCGATTGGACTCGGAGAACACCCGGCCGTTATCAGAGTCAGTCAGCGCTGTGCGTGTGCCGTTTTGTAACTTTCGATTTGTAAAATTAGCATGAGAAAAGTGTGAGTCGGTAATTTGTCTATAAATCTCAATTTCCAAAAAATTGACCCTTATGACTGGTTTTGTGCTCATGGGTCACATATGATACAGTAGCTTCATAGGGTTAATTGGCAAAATCATTGTCCCAACAAAGTGCTTACGGTTGTGTTCCTCTCCCATGGCCACAAGGCTCTCCAACACTTTAACTCCTTCCTGTACGGCCTGTAGCTCAGCAGGTGTGGACGGTCGACTGTGCTCAATGGCCTTCAGCTTCTCCACCAGCACCGGAGCCAGCGAGTGAATGTAGGGTGTGGAGAGACTGCGACACGAGTGCTGGAAGACAGACAGCAGCAGCTGATAACAGCGGGCCTGAGTCTGCAAAAACACACACAACAACAAGACATTACTCAGTGCTTTCATCAACACAACATCCTTCCTCAGACTTCATTCATCAACTCAGAATCTGCTACTCCTCAATGCATAAGCACTCTATAATTACTAATCCAGACACTGCTGTCACGGTGTCTGTTCTCCTTGTTTAATCCGTTTAATGCAGAGTTTGTGTAGCTCACCCAGGGATCAGCAGAGTCGAGTCCGTGTCTGAAGCGCTCGATGCAGCCTGTCTGCAGGACGGAGACGCCCACCAGAGCACCGCTGGCCGACAGCAGAAACAGTGTGACGGCCGTCAGCAAACTGACCTCATCCACGCTGACTCCGCACGCGTCTACAGGACAGAGAGAGTGTCAGAAACAGCCGAGCCGGTGATGCCAAACGCAGACACATGCGGCGTCTCACCTGGCTGTGAGTGCTGGAGGACGGTGGCCAGACTGCTCCTGACCAGCGCGCTCCACTGCGTCTGGCTCCTGGCTGCCAGCGGAGAGCTGAGGATGGTTTTGATGGCCTGCAGAGACGCAGACACCGGCGCAGGGACCGAGTTATCTGACGTCTTTACCGCGGTGTCTCTCAGCACACCAGTGATCAGGAAGAGCACCGTGGGCAAGATGGTCATGCTTCCTACAGCAAGAAACAAAACTAAATTTAGTTAAACTGGTTAATTTTATGCCACAAAACACGCACACACATTTTTTTTAACTGAAAATTGAGTGTTTACTATTGTCATTTTGCATTATCGACACACTATTTAATGCTGTAAAGCTGCTTTGACACAATCTGTATTGTTAAAAGCGCTATATAAATAAAGGTGACACACACAGTGATGCTAATGCTCAGCACAGGCAGTCATACACCACCACCTACTCTTGCTGCTCCTGATGTGCTCCAGATGCTCCTGGGCTGCACGGATGGTTTTCTGCACGACAGTCGTCACCTGCAGCTGCACGCTGGGTGGGTCGCGTGTCAATAACAGCCGGTGAAGCACGTTGAGCAGCTCCACAGCCAGCAGCTGCCACACAAACGCTGCGATTAGAATGCTTTACTATTGCCTGCAGTAAAACGCATGATAAAGATGTTGAGTAACTGCTCTGACCTGGTCCTCTGCGATGTGCGTCCGAGCGCTCGGTGAGTCCAGCAGCGTGCAGAGAGCATGCAGACACGACATCACATCCTCGATGGGCTCCTCGGCCCGAGGGAAACACAGGAACTCGATGCTGATGCCTGAAACATTACGAGAGACATTACAGCCCTTTGCATACTCTACAAGTCCAAATGAGTCACGTAGAGAAGGATTGTACCCAAAAGAAGGTGCAATCGGTCTTTCACTAGGCCATCAGTGCTGTTCCCCGGAGCAGAGACCACTACAGGTCCAGTGTCTTCAGCTGAACCGAAGCCTGTGCTGCTGAGCCACAGGGCCTCCGCGTGCAGCACAGACGCCCAGGAGCTACGGTAATGAAGCCTCGCTGTGTCTATGGTCTCAGGAGTGTAGAAAGCCCCTCCTGATGAACACATTGTGAAGAGTAACTGCGGTTATTGGCGTCCACTGAGCAAGTACAACAATAAATTCAACTGGTCCTGGAATTCAACCTTTTTAAGACCTGCACAATTAAGATTAATACCATATGTCCATCCAGAACAAACTCAATCTCAAATTAAATCATGCATCTCAGATTCTTTTCCTAATTAAACAGGCTAAGGCATATATTCAATGAGGACTTAATACTTCTCATCAGCATAACTGCCAGTTTAAAACACTCAATGTTTTATTCAATATATACATAAGTACTGAAATGGTTTCATGTATCAAAATTTGGGTAAACACTTCATTTTAAGGTGTCCTTGTTACTCATGTTACATATACTTACTATTATTACAACAAACAATTATGCATAATTACATGCAAGTAACCCTAAACCAAACCCTAACCATATAGTAAGTACATGTAGTTAATTAATATTACTCGGTACTTAAATGTATTATTACACTGTAACGAGGACACCTTGAAGTGTAACCAAAATTTGACTACAAAGGAATTAGAGGTCGAGCGGAGGCGTTTCATGTGCTTCAAGAAAGGCAATAAACATTATTTTGCCGATACTAATAAAAATCTAAATACTGAACACTTCAAAATAATGTCCTTAGTCTTTTTCTCCCTTTTAAGTATACAGAAGCTCAAAACACACCGGGACTCTTATTTTGAAATGTCTGTGTTACTACAAAATATGCATTCTTACAAGAGACACCATAAAATAAACATTGTCATAATCCAACAACAACAACAGTAGATCATAAGCAATCGCTTGGCATAAATGTGACCCTGGAGCACAAAAGCAGTCTTAAGTCGCTGGGGGTATATTTGTAGCAATAGCCAACAATACATTGTATGGGTCAAAATTATAGATTTTTCTTTTATGCCAAAAATCATTAGGATATTAAGTAAAGATCATGTTCCATGAAGATATTTTGTAAATTTCCTACCGTAAATATCAAAACTTAATTTTTGATTAGTAATATGCATTGCTAAGAACTTCATTTGAACAACTTTAAAGATGATTTTCTCAATATTTAGATTTTTTGCACCCTCAGATTCCAGATTTTCAAATAATTGTATCTCAGCCAAATATTGTCCTATCCTAACAAACCATACATCAATGGAAAGATTATTTATTCAGCTTTCAGATGATGCATAAATCCCAATTTAAAAAAATTGGCCCTTATGACTGGTTTTGTGGTCCAGTATTCACTGATTGTGAACTGCTCTGAAACTGTGAGCCTGTAGAATCAGAAACAGTGCCGCATTTTGACTTTTGAAGCATGCAGCGCTCACACTCATTCAATTATATAATGAAGTCTTTTGTTGTACCATAATGACTTTAAATTTGATCAAACTTAATATAAGACATCTGAAAGGTTTTTAAGGGCCTGCGGGGACCCTGGGCCTCTGGGTTTGACTTTACCTTCAGGCGGCAGCTGACTGGAGAACTCAGCCGGCAGAGTGAGCAGCGCATAGTCTCTCAACACCGCCAGCCACAGACGGCTGAGAGACGGCAGCTCCGGCTGAACTAACGTCATCAGGCTGTCTGGAGGAAGAACGTCTCCTTCATCTCCCTCATCCTCATCCTCACCCTGAGGAGGACGCGCCGGCTTGGACTGAGACTCCTTCTTTATGTTCATAGCCACGACGAACACCTAAAACCAGAGACAGTAAGTAATGCTGATAATAAACATTGGGAGGATCACTGTTCTTGGTAAACGTAGCTGCTGAAGGGGAACAGCTGTAAGCGTTTGACTCGCCTCGGCCCAAGCTTTCAGCACAGCGAGCTTCTCCATAGTAGTGGCGCTCTCACTGTACAGCTGGCTGGATGGGCTCTTGCCAGTCTGGACTTTGTCCAGAGAGGAGACCAAGAGGTTGTGGACGCGCCGCAGGTCATTGAGGTCACTGACAACACCGCTGCCTATCCATGTGCTGCACACCTGTACACCAATATCACTGTCAGACACTGAAGAACGCACTGAAGAAGAGGGATTTTTTTTACATTTAAAGGTTAATTACAACTAACAGATATCACCATACTTTCACCAGTTGATTAATCACAGCACATCAAGACATGCTTTGTATTACAAGTTGTTAGGTTTAAAAATGTAATTGAGGCATTATCGAATTTAATATGCACTCATTTGCATGAACGTCCAGAACAAATGTGATCATTGGATAAAGTCAGGTTCACAATTCTTGTCTCATTTTGGGCTTTTCCGAAGGGGATTTTGGATTTCTATTTTTATCACTCCATAAATCAGAAAATACTGTCAACAGCCAAAACAACACATTAGGGCTGTCAAAAAAATAAAAAATAAAGAAATAAATCGAATTTCGAATATTCGTCAATCAGAAAATACTGTCAACAGCCAAAACAACACATTAGGGCTGTCAAAAAAATAAATAAATAAATCGAATTTCGAATATTCGTTGAATTTAAAATAATGCAATAAAAATGCAAAAACGGTGCATTCGAATTTTAGTTGATGTTAGTTTCGAGATGCGATGACGATGTAAGTGTCGTTGCATTATAATGTTTTTGTTATCCTGGCCAGTTGAAGCCACTAGATGCTGCTGCGCTGTTCATTACAAATATTGTGGGAAAAGAGAAAATCAATGCGGAGAAGATCTTGTTTATGTCAAAACTGAAACCAAGCCGTTCACACAGAACACATATTTCGCGCATTTTCTAGAAGGATATTTATGTGTCGCACAAAAGAGAGAGACTTTATGGCGGGTTTTTCCCCATCCCACTGCAACTCGTGCTTTTAAATGAAAAATGTATTCTGTGTGATTGGCTTTCGGCCCTTTGTATTAAACTATGCATACATACATGATGCTGTTTTGTTTATAGTTGTTTAAGCAACTTAATTATAATTGGTTTATAAACATTATTTTAAACATTATGCACTTTTTTTCACAGATGGTCATGTTATCTTATGATTTGAATAAACGTGCATTAGTAATATTTTGCTCGATGCGCCCTCTTGTGGCCTCTGGAGAGAAGCAAAAAGATTTTCTTTATCCTAACTGAAATTATGCATTTTAAATTTGAATATAATTCGAATTTTGATAATATTTAAGTAGAATATTTGAATTTAGTTTTTGCTGCCATTTTGACAGTCCTACAACACATACAGTATTTAATCATGTTTTTAGGAATAAAATGACATATGCACAAATCCCTCTCTAAAAACCTTCAGAATATAGATTAACAATAATAAAAAAATAAAAAAAAAATTGGAATAAAACTGTACTGTACAACAAGTTTGGTGTATATAAGTGCTGCTGAAATTGAGATTTCTGACACATGAAAAAAAAAAAAAAGTACAATAAAATAAATACTTAAATGCATATTTTGGACGTTTTCTTTCCACTAGTCGGAAAGAAGACATGTTATGGACTCCATCCTTAGAAGTTTTTAAGTCTCAGTTGAAAACTCATCTTTTTACATTAGCTTTCGTAGAGGAAAGACCTTCGTAGAGAAACAACCCCGATGTGTAATGACCAGATAAAGGGTATTTGTCATCTGTGGGTTGGTTCATTAACTGGTTTATTCTTACTAATTATGTTAGATTTTATTGTTTTTAATCTTTGTATGTGCTTTCTTTTAAATTGTGAAGCACTTTGGGCAACAAAATTGCGTTAAAATGTGCTATACAAATAAATAAAAGTTGAAAAAAATACAAGATGGAAGCAAAATCTCAAAATTGACCATGCGGTCACTGGGGTGATACCCTTTCAAAAGGTACTAATATTAGGTATTAATATGTACCGTTTAGAGGTAAATTAGGCAAGAACCTACAAACCTTAGGGTACCGCCCCAGTGACACCTTCACACCTTTTTTCTGAGAGTGTTGGGTTGAACTTTGACTTGCTGAATCAAGGCTAGGTTGTGGTGTAGTCTAAAGATGGGCTGAATGTGTACCTGGCAGGCTTTGGCAGTGATGTCTGACGGTGTATCTGGGGAAAAGGCTGGTCGGAGTGCAGCACCAACCTGTGGTTTAAGAACATTAGATGAACTCAATGTCAGCATGAAATGACAATTCACCCCATCTATTTTCTAGATGCATGTTATAGATCTTATTGTGAACACTCATCCATGCATGTGTCACTTTTTAAAAATGCTTTTTGAGTTTGTAATGTTTATGCAAAATGTCCCAACAGGACCGACCGGTGAAAACAACAGACTTCTCTCTGATGACGTACGCAGGACTTCTCCAGTCACTTAAGTCTTCCCGTTCCTTTGCCTACACTTTGAGTGTTTTTTCTTTATCGATAAGCTAGATGCACATCATATGCAAGAATCTGTCAATACTTCTTTCATTGCAACTTTAAAATGTATATACAATGTAAGACAAGGAAATAATACCAAATAAAACCATCAAAGGGCATGGGTCTGATGTATGATGCGTGCCAGTGATAATCTCTGCAGCTCATTTCATTTGACATGCAACACACCACCAAATATAGCACTGAATACAATTATATTTAATTCTAATCTATTACTATTACTTGAACTGTACTGAATTACTATGACTAGCAAGGGGAAATATTTACCAAAAACATCTGCTGTATTTAAGTTTTCATGATAAATATTACGTGAGCAGAAAATACTGCTTAACCGACATGTTAATTTAAAGTATGTTTGTGTCTTAATGTGATTTCTAACACAAGAGGGACTACCGGTGCATTAACATGCCATATGTGACCCTGGACCACAAAACCAGTTTTAAAGGCACAATATGTAATTTTCGCCGCTGGAGGGCATGTATTCAAAATAAACAAAGAGACAAAGGCGTAGTTTGATGACACTGTGACTGAGTGTGGAATCATGGGAGTTGTGGTCTTCATCCCCACAGACGATGCAATCCGACGGGACTCGGGCAGAAATCATGTTCATGGATGAGCTAATGATTTATTAACATAGTAGAATGAAGCAGGGTGAGGCTGAAAGCCGTCGAAGCGAAACGAGGCCACTGAACGAGCGTGACACACGGCTCGAAAGCAGCGGAGCTTTTATTATGCCACAGTCGAACGCTTCCGCTGCTTCCGGTCGTGCGTATGTGGGGTAAAGCAGCGGAGCTTTTATTATGCCACAGTCGACCGCTTCCGCTGCTTCCGGTCGTGCGTATGTGGGGTAAAGCAGCGGAGCTTTTATTATGCCACAGTCGACCGCTTCCGCTGCTTCCGGTCGTGCGTATGTGGGGTAAAGCAGCG